AAGCTTTAGATACAACAGAGAAGGATTTAAAAGCTTTTTAGGTTACTTCACAGCTCCTTCATAAAAGGAGCAAATTCAAGAGAGGGCAAATGGCTGGTACCAGTACAACCCATCTGTGTGTGTGTCTCATGCTTCCCACTGGGCCTGAGTGACAAGACTGTGGTTTTCCTACTTTCCTTGTACTGTTCCTAGTTTTTGTTTCAGAAGTTCCAGGTTCAGCTCCTATATTCTTTCAACATACTATCCTCCAGAAACAGCAGCTGAGGCAGCTGTTGTCCTTAGGTTTTGAAGCCAGTGACTGGCCTTCTAGCTGATTTAAAAGGCACGAATCATTTTAAAACAGAGTCTGATGGTGCTTTGGACTGAAAGTCAGGGGTAATTTGAAGTTTTGTTGGTGCTCTCTGCTCCCATCTGGGGTTACATATCTAGCTAAAAGAAAGAGGCATCAAGTTTGCTGGGAAACACAGGTAAGAAACAGCTGCTGCCTCTCCAGAAGAACCATTTTTGATGGAGGGCAGTAAGAATATAGCACTGAAAGCTTAGAAATACAGGACTTGGGAATAAATGAAGCTGAGACGTGGGTTTTTTCCAGAAAATTTGAGAATTGGAATTGTCTGCTGTCATCTGGTCAGGCACACAAAGTAAAACTAACATGACCAAACTGAGATGCCTATTTAGTCACAGTGATGTGTATGAATGGGCAGCTCAGCTGGTGTTAGATGGAAGTTCTCCACTCTCAGTAGGAAATACACAATGTGGCAGAGTGAACTGGCCAGCTTGGTGCTGGTGCATGAGATCAACCTTCTAGAATGAGAGATGTGCAAGGCACCCACTGCTGTGGATTCCTTGAACCTCACAAGAAGGACCACTCTTGCTGCTGAAAGTTATTAAAGCATGAGATCCACAGTTGGATTTTATTTTTTTTTTTCAAGCATTATGTACCTCTTTATGTAAGCTGCTCAGGAGCATTGTCAGCCACATTGCTAGTCTACAGGCAAGCTACAGTGGGGCTTGCAGACATAATTTATTTTAAGTAGTTCCATGAATGTATAATCTAGAGAAGCCTCATGCCTATCTTTAGGTTAGATTTTTTTTGCTATATGGGGAAATAATGATCTGACAGTTTCCCTGTGTACAAGGTGTCTGCAGCTTCTCCTAACCTATATAGATGCCAGTGGGTTTAGTAGCCAGTGAGTTCACTGCCCTCTGGACATCTATGAATGTGTCTTAATCATCTGTTTTTTCAAGAAATATATTTGAAAAAATTTGCACTTCTCAGGGTTTGAACTGAGTTTCAAAGTTGAAAGAGGCATAATTGCCTTAGAGAACAGGCTACAGAGAGCAAAATGGGGCTTCAATTAGTTTGATGCATTTAGCTAGTCCATAGCCTTACTAGTATTGAGCTTAATGCTACCTGAGGCTTAGAAGTCCTTGAAGGTTGTTTGGGGCTGATCAGAGCCCACCTGTCCACAGGAACAAGATGCTTTGTTAACAGCAAGGGAACTGTGTGCTCAACCCTGCTAGCCCTAACCACCATACATCCCTTCCCTAACATTGCTGGGAACATAGCTGCCACAAATCCATAGTTGCTCTGTTATGAATGTTTCCTTGTCCTGGGATCTCAGGTGGCAGGAGAAGGGAATGCCTCCTTTGCGACCCTGACTCCCTAGAGCTACCAGGAAGAGCAGCAATAGCTCTGAAGCAAAGCAGGACTCCTGTATGGCAGGAGGTTCCTGAATGCAGTTCCGTATCAACAGGGAGGTTTTGCTGAAAAAACAATTCATATTTCTTGCCAAAAAATCAGATTCTGGTTCTCTTTTCCCAGTCCCTTTCCTTATCTCACTTGCCTGTTTGATAATAGCGAAGTGGCAACTTTTTGTCCACCTTGGTTTGTTGCCATTTACAGCCTGAAACAAGCAACAGCTTGGTCGTTCTTGCTGTGTTTTCCCTAGATTCTGACACGCTCTTCAGCAAGGACAGGGATCCTCTGAATGCCTTGGTTCATGCCGTGGCTGAAGCAGCTGGAAGGTCCAAAGCATGGAGCCACAGGGAACGGTGGCCTTTAAGTGCTGTCAAAGCCAAGCACGGCAATCTGGACTCTGTCCACCCCACTGTAGAGAACACTGTTTTGATCAAGGAAAGGTTCATCTTTCACCCAGGAAACAGTCCTGGGATAGAAGTGCCCAATCCCCCATTCTCAAAATGTTTGTGTTACAAATAACTTAAAGGGAATGAAGGTCTGTCTGCCCCTCAAAAAAAAGAAAAAAAAGTATATAAGGTTGCTGCTGAAGACACTGGATTTGGAGAGAAAGATCTCGGTCTAGACTTGAGGATGTGTGTGAGAGTGGCTGTGGGGACACAGCAGTAATATTTCCTTGCTTTGGCAGAAGGGTTTCCTGGCAGGTATTGCCAGCAAAGTAGGCGGGACTGCCCTGTCAGACTGACCGATGGATTTGCCTGGCTGACACCCACAAACTGGGTGCATCGGGGTTTGAAATATGAAGTGCTGGAGTATGGCCAAGCTGTTCCTGTTCTGTGGGGAGCCACAATGAACAATTGCTGCTCTTCTGTCTTGGTGGAGAGAGGTTACGTGATGTCAGTGCTGGGATGGCTGGGAGTGGTGATGAGGTGAAGTGCTCTGTGCTGTTTGCACAGCAGAATGGAAAGGCTGGGAGGGGAAGCACAGTTTTTGTCTGTTCAGGGATAGTCAAAGAAAATTTAACTTTGAAGCGCTCCATGCATATCTGATGAATTTTTTTCCTCGGTAGTCTTCCTCCTTCGGCCCAAACCTGTGATGGCTCATCCTTGCTTGCTTTCTTGTCATTGCAACTGCTGCACTTCAAGCCAGGTGCACCCGTCTGTAGGAAGGAGGGTGCCCTCTCCTCAGAGCTTGCCTGTGGTGGATGACCCCAGCCAGCAACAAAGTACCCTTACAGCCATTCCCTGCCCCAGTGGGACAGGGGAGAGAATTAGAAAATCAGAAATGAGTAAACTTGAGGATTGAGGTAAGAGCAGTTTAATGACCGAAGCAAAGAAGAAAAATATGCAAGTGATGTAAAAGCTACTCACTATCTCCCCTAAGCAAGACTATTGCTCACCCTGTCCCTTAGCAGCAGCTACCCTGGAAGGCAAAACCCCTACCCCTTATTCTTCTTCCCAGCTTTGAGTGTTGAGCAAGTCATTCTATCAGGCGGAATTGGCCAGTTTGGATCAGCTGTCCCACTCACACCCCCTCCCAACCTCTCCCCCACCCCCAGCCTGCCTGCTAGGGGACAGTGTGGGAGATGGGCAGTCTTGAGGCTGTGCAAGCGCTGTTCAACCACAGCAAGAACATTGGTGTTCTGCCTACACTGGTTTAGTCACAAATCTAAATCGTGGCATCATACGCGTTGTTACGGAGAAAGTTAACTCTATCCCAGTCCTTAACCATACAACACAACATAATGGTAAAGATTTTCTTTTTTTTTTTTTCTTAGAGAATTCAGAAGATAGATATCATAGACTTGGTTGTGAGCCTGCAAGGCACAGAAAACTGCTGGACTGAGTCAGCCTGCAGGAATGGACACAACTTACAAAGGCCTAGGGAGGGATGATCTTAATTTTCAGCACTTTTTAAATTCTTCCTTATTCAGCAGGTCTGAATTCCCAGTTGTTGTAAATTCTGGGAAATGATGAAAACTATCAGCATGCTTCAAACGTTGCCAAATTCAGTGCACTTTTTTTGTAGGATGCAAACTGGAAGTATTCTTCTAGGAATAGGTGTATTCCAGCTGTGCAAAAGAGTCTGCTTGACTCAGAATGGGATTATTCTGTATTTGGAATAAAGGCTCTTCTACGAAGAAAACACAGCAGTTTAAACCAATTACGCTGGCAAGGATGCTAAGAGCAAGCCTTGGGAAAGCTGAGGGTTTGGAGCATGTTAGGCTAGCGTGTATCTGTGCATACAGAGAAGTGACTAATATGTTTTTTCCATTTGACTCCTTCAGCAAAGAGCTATCTCCCTGGAAGTGTTCCTGGAAGGAGCTGGATAGTGCTGGGCTGCCTCTCCTAGACACCAGTCCATAACATAATGAGGGCTTTAACTGAAAGATTAGGAAATACACTCAGAGTTAAGAAAGAAGTGAAGTGTAAAGAATGGTGTTGCCATGATCCATGCTTTGGAAATTTCTTTTAAGCTTTAGATGACAGACAGCTAAAGCATCCATGCTGTCTTCTCTAACTGCTATGGTTGGAGGAAACCATTTCATCTCTCTTTATCCTGATTCTTCAGGAGCAGCCAGCCTTCCTCACCTGCCCCTTCCCAGTCCTCTACATTTGTCAAGCACCAGCAAGGCTTTCCCCTGCCGAGCTCCTCCTGAAGCCCCTGACCACCGAAATCTCCCTCCTAGGCTTAGATTTCCACAGGTGCTTTTCTACAATATTGGCTGACATTGCTGTGGTACAAAAGTTGGTTGTATTTCAGGGTTCTTAACATACATGATGCCACCAACAACCCTCCCTTTGACAGATGCCAAGTCTCTGATATATTTTGATGCTCAGACCAATGCGCATACATTCCAGTTTGAATTGGGGATAGAGGGAACTTCACAGTAGGAAATTATGTCAGGGGACTGTGTTGGATGCTGTCTGATACTAACTTCATTTTAAATAGCTTAGCTTGTTGTTTAGAGCTCAGCTGAAAGCTTGACGCTTAGTGGAATGGACAAAAAGGGGAATATTCACCAAAGATAACCTTTGGGTTATCGTGCCTGGGAGGGGTTGGGGCCACTCAGGTTAGATGCTCTGCATCTCAGCAATTACTTCTGAAGTCAGGTTCATGCCTTGAGCCCATTCCCTGGAGACTCTTTTCACAAGCTTTGTAGGTAGACCAGTTCCTCTGCACTGAATTTAGCTTTTGTGAATATCTGTCCTTGACCCAGTAGGAGCTGCAGAAGTGCCATGTCATACAGGCTGTGTGCAGTAGGTATGGAAACAACAGAGGAGGCAACAAGGCAACACTTCAATTGAGAGGAATTTTTTTCTCTTTTCCCACAAGAATAATTGGATTTATTTGTTGATAAAAATCTGAATGAGCAGGCACATCTTAAGTATACTGGCTTATATTATATATTCTATATGCCAAAGTAGATGATATAATGTAATTTTGCAAATGAAAGTGCCCTTTAAAAAGAAATCCGTAGTAATACAGTTGGAATTAAACTTGCTGTTATGAACTCTACTGAATAATGGCAACCTGCTTATTTTATCGAAAAAGCTTTATTTCTAAAACACTTTATATAAAGTGTACTACTAAGTAATGGTAGTTAAAATCATGTTGCTTTCATCAAAGTCTGGCAGTTCCTTTACTCTTGCTGTATGACATGAATAGAAAGAAAGCGGGGTCATTCTGACCAAGGGAGGACTCACTTTTGCCCAGTGCAGCCCTACAGGCACCAGCTGTAGTAGGATAAATGACTTTAGTAATCGTCATAGTTGACGCCTGCTCCGTGCCTGAAGCTGTGTGGATCTCGTGGGCCAATTGGAGAATCTTCATCGTAGTGGTGCTGGTAGTACCCACCATAATATTCATTACGAGCACGCCCTAAGTTTGTCCAGTAGGAGATGTCATCTTCAAATTTCTGTCGAAAATGAAAAAAAAAAAAGGGGGGACATTTGCTTTCCAGCCTGAAACTTTACAACAGTGAGATGAAACAGAAGTGGTGCAAGAGCCTCTTTCAAAAATTTGGATCCTTCACACATTTGTCGTAAATTAAATCTTTAGATCTAAGAGGTTTTGAGACCTTTTGCCTTCCCTATGGGATCATCAGGATCCTGAGTGCAGGAATTGTCCCTCTCCAACCCCACCCGGCACCCACTCCTACACTCTCTGCCCACTCTAAAGTGCTGAAAGTGAGAATGCCTTCAACTGAAATGTCCACTAAGCACCTTTAATATCTCTATTACCTTGTCAGTGGTAACCATTTTAATGTTTTTTAATGTTTTGCACTTAAAAATGTAAAGGTTTAGTTGTCTGTTGTTCCGTGCCTTTAGTTGTTATGTCCATGACTGGGGTGCAACAGGCTTTTGCTTTCTGTCTGTGATCTCTCATTCCCACCTTCCATGGATAAAAATGAAGGGACAGTGCAGCCTTCTAGCTATGGAAATGCAATAAGCAGTTCAATTCTGCTCAAAACGGCAGAGGAAAAACAGTGTGCAAGGATATCAAATACTTGCCAAGCCAAAGCCTTTCCATCTGAATGACTCTTTGGAAATATTTTTTGGCTGAGATTTGAAAAAAAAAATTTTGCAAAATACACAATGGCTAAGTATGACCCAAGTCCTTTGCTGGAACAAACAGTTATTTCATTGTTAAAACTGTGTCTTAATACTCAAGAAAACCTACTAAGTGGATTCATTGTATCCCTCAACAGGCCTCATTTCAGTTTTTGAAATACACACAGGAACTCAGAGGAGAATTCACTTTTTCTGCATGGCTTGTCTTTACTACTTTTGGTATTTGCCCCCAGTCTTAAGTTTCTGATGTATGAAACACTTTTCCTATTTTTTTCTATTCCTATTGATGAAGGGGGATATAGCCATGCTGTTAAAAATATCCACATAATGTCCAGGAGAATTAAAAAAAGTACCCTTCATTATTTCAGCTCAAGCAAAGGATTATTTTTCTAATTGTTGCAGCTTTGAAAATGAGTGCATTCATCTTCTAAGCAATTCACATAGCACGAAGGTCTAAAATGTACTCCAGCTTGCCTGTTCCAAAGCAATTTTATTAAACATATTCATGCAGCTGACAGAAGCCAAGAATTCAACATCTATAACTATTTTTATCCCTTATTAAAAGTAGAAATGATGCTACATGTTGGACTGCAATCAAATGCACTTATTTTTGCCCTATTTCAGCATCTATTTAGTAGAGCTTTGTGCAGAGCTTGATTCCACTCCAGTCTTTTTACAAATTAACTGCTTTTAAAAAATGTATCCTTCTCTTTTGAATATTATCAAATGGTTTTCCTTTCACATTTAGAGTTGAGGCACAGCTGCTGGTGTTGGTGGTGGTCAGGAGCTGCCCACACCAAGGAGGCACATGTGTGCATTAGGTACATGATGTCAGTGCTATTTCATCGAGTTATGAGTGCCAATCATAACCAGTTTGGTGTGGATTTCTGAGCGTGTTTAAAAGCAAACTGATTAGGTTGAGGCTGACAAATTAATTTCCTGAAATACAATTGATTGCTTTGAGCCTGGCCATTTATTTCTCAAAGCAAACTTTGTTCATATGTCCAATTGCAATTTATTAAGCTTACCTTCAATAGCAGGCAGGAACTCCACCAAAAATCTTAATGTAATTTTTTTCTACTAATAACATTTTGCAGAAATCTTTAACAAGTAAGAGAGCTAATATTTCCGTGTGACATTTGCTACTTTAAAAGAAGAAATCTCAGTCTCGGTGGACAGAAGCAGCTTCTCCCTGGAAACCCCAGGGGCTGTGCATCCTCACTCACCACTGCTCAGTCTGAACCCCTCCCAAGCCTTATAGAATCACAGAAAAGCTTGGCTTGGAAGGGACGTTAAAGATCATCTAGTTCCAACCCCCCTGCCGTGGACAGGGACACCTTCTACTACACCAGATTGTTCAAAGTCCCATCCAACCTGGCCTTAAACACTTAGAGGGATAGGGCAGCCAGCACTTCTCTGGGAAACCTGCTTTGTGCCTCACCACAAGTAACTAAATAATTGTGAGTAAATAATTTCTTCCAGATATCTAATCTAAATCTTTTCTTTTTTAGTTTAAAACCATTCCTCCTTGTCCAATCACTACCTGCTCTCCCTCTTTTTTATAAGCTCCCTGTAAGTACTGAAAGACTGCAATAATGTTTCCCAGAGCCTTCTTTTCTTCCTGCTGCTCTCCATTTCATATACTCACCGCCTCATCGAATCCCAGGTACAGGAACTGCTGGTACCACTGCTGTACATCAGGCTGGCTTCTGTCCCACAGCTGGCGCCTCTGGCGTCTCAGGCTGCTCAGGAACTCCTTGGCTGCCATTTCCTTCACTGACACCTCAGGCTTTGCAGCAACAGGGGCTGAAATTAATTCCCCCCACAAAAGGCATGCCAGGAAATATTTGGTCAGCCTGGAGTGTACTGCTTGCAGCAGGTAAGAAAATGCTTCTCACATCATGCCATCACCTTTGTGCTTGCCAGTGCTATGACTGTCACAGAGTACAGTAATAAACCCAAGAATCACTGAAGTAATAGGATTTCTCAGCTACCCTCATTCTCCTGGATTTTTGAAAAGCTGTTCTGAGCTCAGACAGCAGCTTAGTGAGGAATTTAAATGTATACACCCAAAGAGCACATACACAATGTGTTTGTGCTTTGAGGAGAGAACAGAAGACTGGTCTCTCTGTGCTGCAGTTGCAGAAATTGGAATGAAGCCTCAGGAAGCTGGAGAAACACTGCTAACTTCTCAGGGTGAAGAGAGGCACACATGAAAAGATAGATTTCTAAATCTGTTGTGTAAGAAAGTAGCTTTGAAATAATGAGTGCTACTAAATGCCCTGTATGCCTGAAAATGAAAGCCCATTAGGCTTTCATAGCACACTGCATGGTGGGTGCATGGGAATGGCCTCAACTTGCCAGACTCAGATGTGACTGTCTGGCTTGCTCCATGCCAAGAGTCAGGCAATCTGCTCTGGCTGCTAGAGGAATTTATGTACCTCCAAAAGGTATGGATGTGAGGACTACAACAGGACAAGAAGAAAAGGCCTCAAATAATGCAAGGTTTATACAGGATGTTAGGAAAAATTCCTTCACTGAAAGGGTGGTCAGACATTGGAACAAGCTGCCCAGGGAAGTGGTGGAATCACCATCCCTGGAAGTGTTCAAAAAACACATAGATGTGGCACTTGGAGACATGGTTTAGTAGTGAACGTGACTGTGCTGGGTAAATGGTTGGACTCAATCTTACAGATCTTTTCCAGCCTTAGCAATTCTATGATTCTATGACTGGCCAGCCCCCAGCCACATACAGAAATGATAAAACCTGGTATTGATCTGCCTGTGAAACAAGAAACACTTGGGGGAGTAGGAGAAATGTCTTGGCTTCAGAGCGTTCATTGGAATGAGGGAGAAATCAGGAACATGGGTGTCGATGGAGATTTTTGGATTTTGGAGGTTGCAAGGGAAGAGACTGGGGCAGGCAGGGGGAAGTCAAGGGGAGATGTGGAAACCTTTGAAGTAGGAGCTGGTCAGACTGTCAGGGAGACAAAGGACTGCAGTGAGCAGGCGATTCAAGAGATAGAAGTGATAGATGAGTTGTTGCAGAAAGAGTGGGAAAGGGTAGGCTGTCCTGTGATGATGAGCTGGAAACTGGTAACAGGGTGAGCTGGGTGTTATTACTGGGAAGAGGGACAGCTGAGCAAATGTCCCATGAATAAGCCTCACACAAGAGACACTGCCAGCAAGGGAAACAGTACTGTGCACTTGGCCTGCTCACTTAAGAAACCAACCAGAAAAGGGGAGCGAGGCTGGAGTTACAGGGGCTACATGTTCCCTCCTTCAAGGCTTTGCAGTTCTTTCTGGTCTAAGCCATGTTGTCTGCATGCTCCAAAAGCCTCCCCTTTGGTGGTCCCTCTCCCCAGGGGAACTGAACAAACAAGTGGCCTGTTGCTGGGGTGCAGGGAGGGCGTGGGTTGCTCCTGTCTGCACACAAACACTGCAGAATGGTGACGTAGAGAACCCGCACACAAGGAAAACAGATGTGGATGGGATACATATTTTAGGGCAGGTAAGAGATGTTGGGTGATGCCAGAAAAAACCCAGTGAGAAATCAGACAGGCTTGCAGAAAGTGGGAGTCCCCTCTGTGGCGGTATAAATATTTTGGTTCAGCGACAGAGCAGACTGAGGGGAGGTGATCAAAACTTCTGGGATATTTCATCTGCTGCTTGTTCCCAGTTGGCATGATTTCCACATCCTTCCCTCAACCAGCAAGCCATTCTGTGCATCTGACTGCTGGGCCCATCATCTCTCCTGTAAGAAAGCAGTCTTCCAAAAAGGAAGCACATGTGGGGCCAAGAAGACAAAAAGAACAAGGCAAGGCATCATAAGCAAGCCAGGTTTGCACATTTTCTTCTCTGTGCCTGAGCCAGCAGAATTTCCATGCATTATAATTCCTCGGAAAAGCTTCTGACTTCCCAGAATGAACCTAATAAATGCCACATCTGCCATGCATACACTGGAAAAGGTAGGTGCTATGCACTGCACAGAGGAAAAGGCAGTGTGCTGCCTGAGGTTGGGAACCCCAGTTTTTGGAGTGGGCTGTGGTAAGCAGAGCCTGCAGCCTTGCCCATACCAGGTCCCAAACAGGCATGCAGGCACAGGCTCTGCCCAAGCAGGAGGTTTTGGTGTGGTACGTAGCAAAAGTGGCTGTGTGCTTGTAGCCTGCTGCTCCATCTGCTCTCCTTGGGCTGGAGGTACAGGGACACCACAGCAGCAGCCTCGACTGACAGCAACTGACTCAAAGGAAAAATAAAGGAAAGCATTTGGCTGCTTCCTTACTTACCTTCTCGTTTCTGAAGCATCAGTTTAAGCTTATTTCCCCTTGAAACATCTAGACAAATAAAAATAAAGCACATGCATTTATTGAGAAGGAAATAACAACATAAAGATTATTTCTCAAAAAATACCAGAAGTATTTTTGTCATAGCTCCAGATCAACAGGCAAAAGAGAGAAACTTCTCCCAGTGCTTCTCTTTACTCCCTTTTCCACATTTGAGTGCAACACACACCGCAGGGAAGCTTCTGACACTCCAGCATCCCCTCCCTAGCTCTTCTTGGTAACAGAATCCTGATGCTGGCCTTCTTCACCAAGTAAATTACATTTTTCATCAGAATACCACAGCTGTTGCGAGTACCAGCATCCGAGGCACAAAACCCTGGTCACTGGGTGAGGGCCATGCTAACTGCTCCAAAGTTGTCTGGCAGACTGGCAGTCTGCCCGAAAGTACATCGAAGCAGTCATCCTGCTGATCCCCAAGGCATTAGCCCACGGTCCGGCAGCACAACAGGAGACCTGCAAGCCCCCGGCTGCTCCGAAATGCTTTAGTTCACTGGCAAACCTTTTTTAAAAGATGCCCAACTTGCACAAGTTTTGGAGCGTCCGAAGGTGCTAACCCACGCGGAATGCCAGGAAAAGGCTTTTTCCCGCTCCCCAGGACGCGCCGGGTTACGCTTTCCCTCTGTCCCTCATCCCGCACGCCGCGCTCACTCACCGGGGGCCGCGCAGAGCAGCGGGAGCAGGAGGAGCAGCAGGAGGAGCAGGGACGGGCCGGGCAGGGACGCGGGGGCGGCATCGCGGCCGGGGCGGCCGCAGGCGAGGAGAACCACCCTGGTGCGGGATGTATGAGACGACGAGGAAGAGAGGATGAGAGATAGAAGAGGCAAGGGACGGAGGCAGCCCGTAAGGCGGAGGGAGGGGGAACCGATCGCCACGAGGCAGGGCGGAAGATGCAGTGGGCGGAGAGGGGAGGGCGGGTCCAGAGTCAGCGCTCCTGGCCCCGGCAGCTCCCCGGCGTCGGGTGGAGTTCCGCGGACTTCCGTGGGATTGTGCACCCTGCGCTTGGAGGTGCAGCGAGATTCGTTTGGGCAGGACCAGGCACCCACCCGTGTGCTCGGCCACTTGCCAGCAACGCCTTTTTTTGGTGTTACACGTAATCAATCCAGTGAGAATGGAAAAGACCCGACAGCGGTTCATGCTGGCTTTTCTGACAGGGGAGTTAAAAAAAATAGCTGTAGTCTGTCGTTTCACATTGCTCTCTATATAAACCCAGTTTGTCTGTTCCTTGTAAAATCAGATGGAAATGGAGTGATTGTCTGGTGGAAAAACTAATCAGAATCCACCAAAGGTGACTTAGTTCAGGATTTTTTCCCTCTCCCGTCCTCGCATTGCCCAAGCCCACAGAAAACCGCAACGCATTTCAAATAATTTTGATTTCTTTTTCTGCATATAGACAGTTTTAGTTTATTGTAAGAACTCAGGAACCAAAAGCAAAGTCACAAACTAAAAGCCCTTGCTCAGGAGGTTCATAACTGTACTGATGCCTAAACTTACTCTCTTTTTTCCTGATTGAGACTTAACCTTCCCTCAGTGAATTAATCTTTCAGTTCCTTCCCTTGCAGATGCCAGACACACCCCAGATGCATTCCTAGTTAATTCCTTACCCATCCTCAGACACAAACCTCTCTCTTCCCTCACAGCAGAGACCCACAACACCCAGGAGACCGTTAGGAGCATCTCACCTCCTGCTGAACCCGTGCCAGAGTAGAACAAGATAGAGCTGAGCTCTCTCTGTAAACTACTTGTGAGAAATCCGGCAAGTGCTGAGGCCTTGGCTTTGTGATACAAGGATCAGTTCCAGATCAGTTGCAGTTGAATAAACACACACACACACACACAGTTTGCATACTGTATATGGTGTAATCGTATATAAATATGTATATTGAATATGTATGTGTGCATATATACAGATACAGGAGTGCACACTGAGGGAGCTGTGCAGTGGTGTGGCAACTCCCTGTGATGAAATGTGTAACCTGTCAGTGCTATTCAGATGCAGCTAACTGTGGGAGTGGGACCAGACCCCATGGCTGGCTTTATCACTCACCATAAAATGCAGAAGAATCATCAACATGGGCTGGTCCCTCAGCAGTGCCTCAGCCTCAGCCTGAATGCTACTTCATGCAACCGCTCCTGTTTGCCCAGTGGATCTTTCCCCTTGTGAAAAAATTATTTGGACCTGCACTCAAAGCTTTTCCCTTGCTGCCCTTCATTCCCCAGCACCCTTGAGCTAATGCTCAAACCTCTCTGCTCATCTTTCATATAAGGACTTGTTAGAAGGGCATGTAGTGACAGGACCAGGGGAATGGCTTCAGACTGAAAGAGAGTAGATTTAGATTAGATATTAGGAAGAAATTTTTTACTGTGAGAGTGGTGAGACACTGGAACAGATTTCCCAGAGAAGTTGTGGATGTCCCATCGCTGGAAGGCGAGGTTGGATGGGGCTCCGAGCAACCTGGTCTAGCAGAAAGTGTCCCTGGTAGGTTGGAACAAAATCCTCTTTAATGTTGCTTCCAACCCAATTCTATGGATACTGTGATTCTGTGATCCCAGTTGAAGTGGCAACAGCAACATCTTGAAAAACCATGCAGTTGCTCCAGCCAAAGTGCCTCTTGCTCTCTGCAGGAGCCACATCTTTCCATGGAGGCAAAGCAGGAGGTAACAGCACCTTCCAGCTCCCTGTGATGGAACCACTCCTATAGGAAGCTGAGGTCCCGGCTCAACTCCCACACAACCGTGAATCAAAATGTGTTTGTCTTTTCTGTCATTGCTTCTGAGTGATTTTTCCCTATAGCCCCATGCTTCAAGTGTCAGCAGACAACACCATGTGTTGGAGCAAACGTCTCGTCTTCTGAATCAACGCACTCTTTCATCAGCTTAACGTTGACAGCCTGTTTGCAAAAACCACCTGAGGTTTTGGGATAGTTATTTGCAGAATATAGCTGGAAGGGACAGAAGTGAAGCACATATGCAAGGCCACATGTAAAAGCTATGACGGAGATAATTTATAAAACCAGGGCAATAATTTGTGAATATTCATGGTTTACTGCTATACTGGTAATGGCAAAGGGTGTTTCGTTCAGCTGGGTGGTTTATAACAAGCCTTGTGTGGGAGCTGGGGCTGTGCAGAACTTCGGGTTCTTTTTGCCTCTGGGCCACTGGAATACAAAACACAGAATCTCCTCTGGATACCAAATATATCACTCAAGAAGCTGCTGGGATGAAATGCAATCTGGTGAAACCCAGAGAATAGATTGACTCAAGTACAAGGTTATTGTAGAAAATCATTGCTCTAGTGATGGAAGAAGTGATTGACAGAAAGCTATAATGCTCAGGTTTAAACTGAGTGCGGTGTCTCCCCAGAAGAGGTCACTTTCTCAGTTCAAGGGACAGAAGTTTTTGACATAAAGTAAAGAAGCTGTGTAAAAATATAACACCACTTCTTTTCAAAGGCAAGAGTGAAAGGTGACTGGCATTTTCCCAGTAGCAATCTTTAGTTCTTTTAGGGTTGTTTTTAGGACTAAGGCACTGTTGTGCTGGCATTGTAGTAAGACATATTTTTTTCTGCTGAGCTTGCAGCTACTGCATTGTCATTTGAACTATTTACCCCCAAGTGAATATCCAATTGACAGGCCTGTGGTACCCCTTTCTGCTATTTACCATGAAAAAACACAGTTGCTCTGTGTGCAATTTGGATAATTCAGTGTTTTCTGGGGATCTCTCCATCAGCAGTGACGTTGCTTTCTTTAAAACATGGATGAGTTTAAGGCTTGTCTTAGGGCTTGGTTTGCCTCCACTGGCATGCCAGTGCTTAAAGCTGTCTGCCAGGATGGTTGGGCAGCATTCCCAAGGGCACCAGGTAAGCAAGTCTGGACTAATGATGTCATTCAGTTAAATGTCTTTCATCACCACTGGTGACAATAGTAGGCTCTTGGTGCTGAAATTTTATTGAAAGATGTTAATTAACGCTGTCAGCAAAACTGTTCCCCAGACAGCTCTGGAATGAGGAGCAGTGAGCAGGGTCCCTTCACACATGGTGTAAACTCCATCAAGCCTGATAGCATAATGGGAACCATGAATGGGAGGAATGCCTGTGGCAGGATAGCAGGCTGCTGGAGCTGGCAGTTTCATCACATTCCCAGCATGGAACTAGACTGAGGACTATGGTCTTGCAAGCCTGAGGCAAAAATTTGGGAGCAATCCAACAGAAACCACTCTGAGCCTGACCTTGAGAAACTACAGGCAGGAACAAGGCAAAGAGATCACTGAAGACAGAGAAATTCTGATACCTGAGTTTGCTGCTGGCCAGCTTTGTCTTTGGAGCCTGCAGAACTTGATGTATAATTTTTGGGATAAGTAAAGAAGACTCTAGATGGTTTGTTAAATAGCTCTGCAACTTGCTGCATGTTTGGTTAGTGCTTGGGCTACCCCATTTCATCTATGTGATCTCTGAGTTTACGTATAGTGGTTTTAAGCCCAGCAGCTTCTGCAGGTACCTAAAGTGATGTGGGTATGTGTGGCTGTTTAACTGGGGGGGGGGGGGGAGAAAGAGGAAATCTCTGCCTCAAAACATCCTGAATTTTTAAGTGTTTAATTTTATTACTATTTTTATTATTATTATTATTATTGTACATTTTGCCTAAAATTTAGTACAAGGAGATTCCTCTGTTTTTGCATCTCATCACAATAGCTGTTGAGAGAACTGTGTTTTATTCATTAAAATGTAAGAGATAGTATCAGTGATGGCTATTCAAGGATATTCAGTAATTCCAAGCACAAAAAAATGCATTAAGAAGATTGATCTTGGTTTATTTCCTTCTTCCTTTATTAGGCTTCATGTTTTCAAGCATTTCAACACAATAATGTTCTTAAATATGTTGTAGATTAAATGCTTATATAATCACAGGATTTCAAAGTCTGGGTTTCCAAGAACGACCCTCATAAGTCTCATATAGTGAGACTTATGATAGAATAATCAGGCCTGACATCAGCATAACTTAGTAGGCAAATAGATAAGTTGGAAATTGTCCAGGGATTGCAGGAGATGACACTTCATCTTCTGCAGAGAAGCACCATGTAGATTTTAACAATCCATTAAAATTATCCATTTGATCAAGAACATGGCAGCATTGAACAGCACTCCCAACACCCAGAAAATGATTACTTTCTGCTACTGGGGTTTTTGCAAAATCTCCCAACCATATTGGCCTGGTCTCTAGCCTTAGGATAGAGGCACTTGGCACTCCAGATTGTTTTATGTATCCTGTTCCAAGAAAACTGCGTGAGTTTTTTTCTTCCAAACAGAAGGAAGAATATTTAAATCATCAGTCAGTTCTTTCCGAAACATTTTGAGTTTCATACTATTTCTTCCACTGCTCTAGACATGTCCTGACAGTGTCCCAAGTGCCAGGGCAAACACTTTTTTTTCTTTAGGCAAAGTTTATTCGAGAGACTCATTGACCTTGACGCAAGGTTTGGGACACATTTCTGCCATTGCATCTCAACTGGTTGCACCATTACTTTGGTCCATGTTAGCAATAAATATTAGAGCTCATATTTTCCATAGAAAATAGCTTAAAATAAAGTTGTTGGGGTTCTTTTTCTCCCCTGTGCTTGGCTACTGCTGATATTTTTTGCAGCATCTGTCTGAGCCTGTCAAATAAGAAATAGTGTCTGTCGGTCTGTCCATCCTCCTCCTTTCGTAGTGTTTTGCTCTCCTTGCTGCAGAATTAAACT